TTCTCCACACTTGGATTAGATGAGCTTATGGGTTCCCTTATGAATTATGAGATCACCATGAAAGGACATGAGGATACTGAAAACAAAAAGAAAAGTGGAATTGCATTCAAAGCCTCATCAAATGAAGAAGAACATGAAAACTCCAATGAGGATGAAAGCTATGCCATGTTTAGTAGAAATCTCAAAATGCACTTCAAGAAAAATAATTATGGTGGAAGAAGACCTTTTAAGAAAGAGCACAACGAAGATAATAAGAAAGAACCTATTATTTGCTATGAGTGCAAAAATCTTGGACATATGAAGATGGATTGTCCAAAATTGAAAAATCATGGAAAAGACTACAAAAGGAACAAGAAGGCCATGGTAGCAGCATGGGGAGAAAGTGAAGATGAAAGCTCAAGTGATGAAGTTGAAAATGAAGTAACCAACTTGTGTCTCATAGCCCTTGAAAATAAAGACTTTACTTAAGATGAAGACTCTACTCAAGATGATGTAACTACTCTTTATGAAGAACTTGAGTGTGCATTTCATGAATTACAAAATGAATTTAGAAAAGTTTGTGCCAAAAATAATGTGTTGAAGAAATCTGTTGCATCTTTATCTAGTAATATAGAAGAATTAAAGAAAGAGAAAATTGTTTTGAAAAATGATTTTGACACCATCTCTATTGAGAAAACTGTTTTAAAAAACAATATTGATGATTTAACAAAAACACTTAAAAATTTTGTAAAATGTAGAGATAATCTTAACATGCTTCTTGGAAATCAAAGATGTGTTTTCGATAAGGTGGGCATTGGATATGACCCTATTAAAAAACAAAAAAATCTCAATATAATTTTTGAAAAGGCACCTCTCATGACACACCCTCCTATTACTTGTCATTATTGTAGAAAGAAAGGCCATTATATATCTTATTGTCCATTCAAAAAGAATATGAACATGGGAATTAAAAAGATTTGGATTATTAAGGGATCTAACAAAACTAACCAAGAAAGACCCAAGAAACTATGGGTACCAAAAACCAACACTTGATTGACATCTTATAGGTTTGCTTTAAGTCCAAAACTAAAGAAGGGAAGTGATACCTTGATAGTGGATGTTCTAGACACATGACTGGAGATAAATCCTTCTTTACTAAACTATTATCCAAAGATGGAGGATTTGTTACTTTTGGAAACAACAAGAAGAGAAAAATCATCGGTATTGGTAGCATCGGTATATCTTATAACCCTTCTATTGAAAATGTGTTACTTGTTGATGGACTTAAGCATAACCTACTTAGTATTAGTCAATTATGTGATAAGGGTAATCGTGTTATTTTTGATAAATCACATTACACAATTGAAAGCACAAATGATCATAAAGCTTTATTTGTTGGTAATCGCCATGATAATGTTTATGTTTTTCATCTCAATGATCTTTATGCTAGTGATGTTAAATGTTTATATGTTAATAATGAAAATAGTTGGTTATGGCATAGAAGACTTGGTCATGCTCATATGAATTTAATTGTTATACTTTTGAGAAAGGATTTGGTCATTGGACTTCTAAAACTTAAATTTGAAAAAGATCATCTTTGTAATGCTTGTCAACAAGGAAAACAAACTAAAACATCGTTTAAATCAAAATCTCATAGTTCCACAACTAGACCTTTACAACTGTTGCATATGGATTTATTTGGTCCCTCAAGGACATCTAGTCTAGGTGGTAAACATTATTGTCTTGGTGGTAAACATTATTGTCTTGTTATTGTTGATGATTATTCAAGATTTACATGGGTTACGTTTTTAGCACACAAAGATAAAACATTTTCTTCTTTTACAAAACTCTGTCATAGAATTCAAAATGAAAAAGGCTTTCTTATTACTAATATTCGAACCAACCATGGTAGAGAACTTGAAAATGAGAAATTTGAATTGTTTTGTGATGAGCATGGTATTGGACATAATTTTTTAGCACCTAGAACCCCTCAACAAAATAGTGTAGTAGAAAGAAAGAATAGAACTTTAGAAGAAATGAGTAGAACAATACTTTGCGAAAATAATCTTCCTAAATAGTTTTGGGCCAAAGCCGTTCACACCGCATACTATATTTTAAATTGTACATTGATTAGACCTATTCTAAAAAAGACTCTTTATGAACTTTGGCATGATAGAAAGCCCAACATTAGCCATTTGCATGTGTTTGGATATAAATGGTATGTGCATAATAATGGTAAGGATAACTTAGGCAAATTTGATTCAAAATCTGATGAAGCAATTTTTCTTGGCTTTTCCTTAACTTGCAAAGCTTACCGTGTTTATAATAAAAGAATTCTTGTTGTGGAAGAATCTATACATGTGGCATTTGATGAAACTAACATCTCTTTTTAAAAGCAAATTGCTAGTAATGATATAGATTTGGAACCAAACGTGAAAGATTCAAGTATCTACAAAGAAGAGAACCAATCGTGTGAGTTGAACAAAGAGGTTGAACAACCTATTCTCCCACCTCAAGAAGAAGGAGGAAATAATGATGATTTGCCAAGAGAATGGAAATTTGTTCATAATCACCCTAAGGATTTAATCCTAGGTGACCCTACAAAAGGTATCGAAGCTCGCTCTTCATTTAGAAACATTTGTAGTAACTTGGCTTTTCTCTCACAAATTGAGCTTAAAAACTTTCAAGAAGCCGAATTCGATGAACATTGGATGATAGCTATGCATGAAGAGCTTAACCAATTTGAGAGAAACAAAGTGTGGAAACTTGTGCAAAACCTAAAGATCATACCATTATTGGTACCAAATGGAACTTTCGAAACAAGCTTGATGAATCCGGTACAATTATAAGAAACAAGGCTAGACTTGTTGCACAAGGATACAATCAAGAAGAATGTATTGATTTCAATGAAACCTTTGCTCCAGTTGCTAGATTAGAAGTCATTCGCATGTTACTTGCATTTGCATATTTTAGAGATTTCAAACTTTATCGAATAGATGTAAAAAGTGCCTTTCAAAATGGTTTTATAAATGAGGAAGTTTATGTTAAACAATCTCCAGGTTTTGAAGATCATGTTTTTCCAAATCATGTTTTTAAACTATCAAAAGCTTTATATGGTTTGAAACAAGCACCTCGTGTATGGTATGAACGGTTGAGTAAATTTTTGATTGAAATAATTTTTCTAGAAGAATGATTGACACAACACTTTTTTTTAAAACTAAAAATGTTGATTTACTTATTGTGCAAATATATGTGGATGACATTATATTTTGTGCTACTAATGAAACCTTGTGTAAGGAATTTGCTAAGTGTATGCAAGATGAGTTTGATATGAGTGTGATGGGAGAGCTAAATTATTTCCTTGGATTTCAAATCAAACAATGTAAGGAATGAATTTTTATCAACCAAGCTAAGTACACAAAAGAACTACTCAAAAAATTTGGTATGTATGACTCTAAAATAGCTGGAATACTTATGAACACATCCATTAAGCTAGACAATGATGAAAAAGATAAATCCATTGATCAAACAAAATATCGAGGTATGATCGGCTCACTTCTTTATTTAACCGTAAGTAGACCCGATATTATGTTTAGCGTTTGTATATGTGCTAGATATCAGTCAAATCCTAAGGAATCACATCTCAGTGCTGTTAAAAGAATTTTTAGATATCTTGTTGGCACTCAAAATTTGGGACTGTTTTATCCTAGATGTGTTGCATTTGATTTAATTAGTTACTCGGATGCTGACTTTGCCGGATGCAAACTTGATAGAAAAAGCACTAGTGGCACTTGTCACTTCCTTGGTAACTCATTAGTATCTTGGTTTAGCAAAAAGTAAAATTCTGTTGCTTTATTAACTGCCGAAGCTGAATATATAGCTTCCGGAAGTTATTGTGCCCAAATACTTTGGATGAAACAACAATTGGAGAACTTTGATTTATATTATGATCATATCCCTATTAAATGTGATAATACTAGTGCCATCAATTTAAGTAAAAATCCGGTTCAATATTCACAAACAAAACATATTGAAATTCAACATCATTTTTTAAGAGATCATGTTCAAAAAGGGGATATTGTACTTGAATTTGTAAACACCGACAAGCAATTGGCGGATATTTTCACAAAACCTCTAAGCGAGGATCGCTTTAATTTTATTCGTGGCGAGCTTGGAATGTCGATTTTTACTTAAAAGGTTTTGTTGTGACTGTGAAACTTGAATTTTTGTTAAAATGATATATGTGTATTGCTACATTGATATGGAAACATTTTATCGGTTGAATGTTCTCAAGTCCTTCATATATTTATTATTCTTAACAGTTTGCTATTCTCAACTCTGTAATTTTTTTTGTTTGGTTGATTCTGCATCTTGAGGTAAAATTAACTTTGCATATGTTGACTTGTTTATTAGGCTAAAACCCTCATATTTTTTTGGTTCAGACTTACCGTTCTTGCCATACAGACTCACTATTTCATTTAAAACAAAAACTCGAACCGGTCGTCCAGGCAGACAACCGGGCAGTCGATCGGGATGTCAACCAGTGCCCACCTGGACCGTCTTTAATTTCCCTAAACCATCTACAACTCTCATTTCTCTTCTGTCCCTCTACGACTCTGTGCCTTAACTCTTCCCCTTCTTCTCTACCTCTCCATTTCCTCAAATCTTTGCCCACATTCAAGTAAGGGCTGGTTTGGGATCTACTAAAAAAGATAAAAATTCAAAAAGTTACCTTATCTCTATGCAAAACCCTGTCTGACTCTGCAGAGGGTTAAATTATGTTTCTGCCCTTCCTTTTTGTTGCTGCATCTGAGTCGAATATATCACAAATATACGCTATCAGAAAGGCCATTTCCTTCACCAACCTCCATTTGCAAGAACGGCAAGCAAAACAAAAACCCTCAGTCGGTTGAACAACTCTAGTCTGTCAAAGACACACCGCCTACTGCTGGAGATCTGTCACACCCTTCACCTTGCACCACCGCCACAGCCGTGCCAAAGGCAGACCTCGACGCGATCACCTGAAAATTGTAACCAACAGGAAGGACCATCCCTCGTCCAGATCTGCACCACCGCCGACCAAATCTACACTACTTCGGCCCGTATCCCCCAAAGAACAAGGTAACATCTCTTCCACGCCACTAATTTTGGGCATGCAAACCAATTCTGTACACTTCTCCATTTTCGGTGATTTGGTAGGTGCAAAGAAAATCTTTGATTTTTCCTGAACCAATTCAGAACATTTCCCCATTCAGAACCACTATGTAGCTCGAAAATGAGCCCCCCGAATCGCCCGAATTAATTACTCTCTCCACTCTCACACTTCCACTTTCCAACCTTTTCTTTTCTTTACCTTCTTCATCACTCTCTCCTCTCTCCTCTGTTCCTCCACTTTCCTTTGTCTTTAATGGCTGCCCCATAACCTAACCCCTCTATCATACTATATGCGCGGGTCAATGTTTTAGCCTTCTGGGTCTCTCTCTTTTTGGTCGGTGAAGATTACCCACAAAGCCCTTCAAAAAATTTGTAGATTTTTTCTTCTGGGTGTGTGATGGTTTTGGGTTTTTAAGGTTCTGTAAAGCTTTTGTTTTCTCAAATACACATTGAGAAAATATTTTCTATTTTGACATTTTTTTTCTTTTTTTTTTCTCTCCTGGTTATGTGATGATATGCTTGTAATGTTCACAATTTTTGGTTTGGATATTTCACAAAGCTTGAGTTTGTTGGATCTTTAAATTCTCACTTGATTTGGGTCTGTTTCTTTTTTGCTTGTTGAAAACATCTAGAAAACAAAATGGAGATTAGTGTTTCAAAACAATTGGGGCAAATTGGGGCATTATCACTGTGTATTTGCTGATTCAATATAAGGTTTAAGGTTGAAGATTTGACATTTGAAGGAAATTTCTTGAGTCAGTAATGGTTACTTGTTTCTGGCATCGTTAGCGTATGAGAGGAGTTACTTGTAGTATGAGAGGGTATGACATTAATGAATACAAATAAGTAGTTTTTAAGTAAAAGGAAATGGATGGCATTTTAAACTACGAACAGACAAATATAGCATTGGCAATTTTTTTAACTAAAAGGAAATGGATGGCAATTTCTTAAATAAATATTGTTATTTACCATTTTCATGTTGTCATAATGTTGCTTTTTGACATATGCCACAATTACTGTTGCATTGTAGTACCAAAATGGAGCACTCACAATCGTAGTCGACACCTTCGAAACATTTGCGTAAGCGTGGTGGGAAACAGTCTCAACCGCAGTCCGCAAATGTGCACAAAGCAAATTGGGACTCTGACACGGTGCGCATGTTCTTGCAACTTGTTATCAAAGAGTTGGACTCAGGTTTCAAGGGCAGCTTCCATACAATGACAATGCACGGATACAGGTGTAGACGTCCCCGAATGCCGCGGGAGGAACGAGCTCCCGTTCTGTTCATTTTGGGGTCACTACAGCTCAGGACTCTCAAATTTGTCACGGTTCTAAGTCTGAACCAAAGAGTCCAAATCCGGCAAATCGTTTTGAGAAAAAAAAACA